CTCCTTCTCCTGTTCCTCCTCCTCCTGCTTTTGCTTCTGCTCCTCCTGCTCCTAATCCTGCTCCTCCTCCTCCTCCTGTTCCTGTTCCTTTTCTTGTTCCTTCTCCTGCTCCTGCTCCTCCTGCTCCTCCTCTTCCTCCTCCTCCTCCTGCTCCTCATCCTCCTCCCTGCTCCTCCTCCTCCTCCTCCTCCTCCTCTTCTTCTCCTCCTCCCTCCTCCTCGTCCTCCTCCTCCTCCTCTTCCTCCTCCTCCTCCTCCTCCTTCTCCTTGCTAAGTGAAACTGTTCAGCAAATAATTGACAAATTACCTGCCTCCCAGGGCCTCGGAGCAAAGCTCTTTTTATCAGGGGTGACGCCCGCTGTGCTACTTGAGCGCGTCCTGGGGCATGCCAGCGGCCACTCAGTGGACCCCTGAACCGGAATATGGAGCTACGGATTACATGAACAATCGCATCCCGATCACTACTATGACAATTCATTGCAAATGCTACTCACTGCCACAAGGAATCGAAGAGAAGCCACCCCAAGAAAGGGCGGGACAGAGCGACAACAACGAAGCCCACGTGCGCATCATACTTCACAACTGTTGCATCCAGAGACACATCTGTGCGACGTGGAGCCCTGCTGCAGTGAATTTGGTCTCAGACGTGACCAGAAGAAGAGATGCCCAAGCTAGCTAGGCGGCCTCGGATTCAGCAGGCGCATTTTGCCTCACGCCACTCTGGTATGCCATCGGAAGGCCAGGCCAGGACTCAGTAGGCAATCCAAGCGATAACACTTGCGCAAGCATCTGACCTTGCGATTGGGGGCTGAGCCGGCGATGCACGTAAGCTAATTTCCGGACAATGTCGATCACTGCCAACAGATCTGCGTGCAGCGGCAAGTTCGTGAACAATGCCTGGATGTGTTTGCTATCGTACCCGTGGTGCTGAAAACATAGAATGTCACAATGTCCTCCTCCTCCTCCTCCTCCTCCTCCCTCCTCCCTCCTCCCTCCTACATCCTCCCTCCTGGACCCTCCCTTCTCCGTCCTCCGCTCCAGGAAGGGGGAGCTGAACCGCCTCCGCCAGATCTTCGAGAGGAGCTTCTCCAAGGACGTTCCGAGGGGATTCATCGCCCCAACGAGACTGCCGAGCGCGCTGTCGGAGGCGATGGGCAGCCTGCCCCTGGTGCTCCTCCAGGCGCTGCCACTGCTCCTGAGCCAGGCGGCGGAGAAGTCCAAGAACCTGCGGCAGATGGTGCAGCGGGTGAACGGCAGCGTCGAGCCGCGACGCTTCACGCTGCGGGGCGGGCTGGCCGCGGAGCGGAGCCAAGACAAGGTCCGGTGCTCGTTCATCGCCACGCAATCCCAGAAGATCAACGCGCAGGGACACAACCCGCTGACGGACATCAGGAGCCTGGGCAGGGGGGACGTCGTGCAGGTGCTGAACGACGCCAACGCGGTCAAGCAGGCGTGCGCGAAGGCCGTGCTCTCAGACGGGGACGGGGGGCAGAAGAAGGTGGTTGTCCCACCCTCCTGAGGAAGAGGAGGTGGACGGAGGAGGTGGATGAGGAGGAGAAGGAGGCGGAGGAGGAGGAGGAGCAGGAGCAGGACCAGGACCAGGACCAGGACCAGGACCAGGAGCAGGAGGAGGACAGTGTCGACGAGGAGGGAGGGGAGAGGGAGGAGAGGATTGACTGAAGGGGGCGCTGGAGGAGTCGTTTATGGACAGTCCCAAAGCTCGGCGAGGGCCCTCAGATGCCGAAAACGACGAAAAATGTCCGCCCCGATTTTTGCTCAGGACGCTGGAGTTCTGGGGAGGCTGGGTGGGGGGGGGCTGGAGGAGTGGGGCCCCAGCCTGGCGCGCCCCTCCCCCCTCGGGAGGGTGGTCGCCTGCTGCCGAGCACTGGCCGTCCCTGGGGGGGGCCTAGCGCAGAGCGTTGGAGGCACGCGCCTGCACCCATGTGCAGAGCGCAAGGACTGCGCCGCCGCAGGGGGCGCGATCGACCAAGAACCAACCGACACCACCCCGCTCACGACCCGCTGGGTCGCAGGTGGGTCGTGCTCGGAGTGGTGTCGCAGGTGGTCGTAGGCGAGCAAGTACCCAGACTTTCAGTGTACCTTGGTCGTAGGTGGTGTGGTGTCGTTTGGTCGTCTGGTTGTTGCTTCACGCCACTGGTGCTGCTGCACGCAACCATTGGTGATCATCGTCAGCAGGCTGCTGCTGTTGAATATGGAAAAGGATGGTCGTGATGCTGATAATGATGATGAAGATGATGGTACTGATGATGAAGATAATGCTGCTGATGATGATGATGATGATGATGATGATGATGATGATGATGATGATGATGATGATGATGATGATGATGATGATGTTGATGATGGCGGTGTTGTTGATGTTGGTACTGATGATGCTGATGAAGCTGAACATGACGATGCTGATGCTGCTGATGATGCTGTTGCTGATGATGCAGATGAAGATGAAAATAACGATGATGATGCTGATGATGATGATGCTGATGCTGATGCTGGTGATGATGATGTTGATGACGATAATGATGATTATGAATATGATGCTGCTGATGCTGATGCTGATGCTGATGCTGATGATGATGATGATGATGATGATGATCATGATCATGATGATGATGTTGATGATGATGTTGATGATGATGGTGATGCTGCTGCTGATGATGATGATGCTGAGGGTGATGATGATGCTGCTGATAATGGTGATGATGTTGTTGTTGTTGATGCTGATGATGATTCTGATGATGATGGTGATGCTGATGATGACGATGATGATGATCGACGATCGATGATCGGCGGCAGAAGCGGGGCTGCCCCGAGAGGACAACGTTGCCCGGGGTGCGGCCGCGGGCTCCGCCGTGTACGTGGTCGAGGTGGACCAAGAGACGGGCACCGTCCGGTTCCAGGGGCCACGGAAGCACCCTCCCCCCCTTCAGCGCAACAAATTCTCGTCCTTCTCGTCTTGCTTCGTCACCCGTACCTCGACACACCTCCGACTCCCTCTTCTGTTTTCCCCTGAGGCCCCATCCGACTTCGTTTTTTTGATTCAGGGTTTTCGGAATCCGCCATGTTTTTGTGCCATGGCAGGTGTCTGTTTCGTGAGGGCCGCTGTCTATGCCGCCAGGTCGGCTGCGCCATTATCGGGCGCCACCTTCATCAGGAGGAGAGGAGGGGAGCAGTAGGGATGGGGCAGGTAGGAAACGCGGATCTGGCCGCAACCGTGCCTAAGTTCGGTGCGCATAGGCGCACGCCCTCACCTCAGCTGCAAGCCGCATCCCCGAGGCGGGGAGGTGTTCGCTGCGGGTGCCCAGCGCAGCGAGCTCGAGCTGACTCTTGGGATTACCGCCAGCCTCCAGGATGGTGGAAAGCACATGGGCTCACTCCTTGGGAGGGCCTGCGAAATGCGCGTGCGTGGAGCGGAGAGACGCGGGCGGAAGATGTGGAGGGCCGCACTGGGCACCAAGGGAGCGCTCCACCTGCTGCACAAGGGACGGGGAGGGCCGTCCACCTGCCCGGGCTGCTCCCGTGAGCGAGCCGAGGGGCGTCGAGCCGATTCCACGAGGCGGGCGCGCGCTCAGGCTACGGGGGAAGTCGAGGAGGAGGAGGAGGAGGAGAGGGAGCAGGAGGAGGAGGAGGAGGAGGAGGAGGAGGAGGAGGCGGAGGAGGATGTAGAGAGGAGGGGGTGGCACTGAAGAAGGGGCCAACCCGTGCTCACGTCCAACGACAGTTCAGGGAGTCAGTACGTGGGTTCCCTGCGTGAGCCTGCGACCGGGAAAGAGCCCCCGTATTTCACTTGGGGGCATCTGGTGGTCTCCGGCACACCCCGCCACCGTGGCTGGGTCGTAGGCAAGGGGCCCTTGGATATTTTTCGTGGCATATTGGCGGGGTGGGGGTGGGGGGGTCCTAGGTCTTTGGAGCCTGCGGGGGGCCTCTTGGGAGCCCTAAAGCCGAGCATGCTGAGGCCATACAAGAGCCACTGGCTGTTCAGAGATCTTGGCCTCCTAGGCCGATCTCCAGGGCCTCGAAGGCTGCGCAACAGGCCCTCAAGAGAGCCCTGGGACGGTCCCTCGAGTTCATCTTAGGACTCGCGGGCAGTGCGGCCTTCCAAACGTGCTCACACGGCCCCGGGGAAAGTCACGACAAAGCTCCGAGAGAGCCAAGGAACGCCCAGTTGCGTCGGGGGCCTGGTGCCCTTGCAGAGAATCTGCGGTATTCAATGTTATGGACTCTGCGGGGCCTGGGGCATCCCACTCAGCGCCTCGTCGTGCGGCGGTGGACACGAGGGAGCTGCCCTGCTCCAGATGCGCAATACTGCCGTTGTTTTATCTCTTTCGGCTGGCGGAGTCCAGTCTCTTGCAGGCTACGCTGGCGCTGCTGGGGACCCGTTGGGATGAGGCCACTGCAAGAGCGATCAGGCGCAGGATCGAACAAACAGTGTGACCTCGCTGACCAGCGTGGCCAGATGAGAAGTACTCTTCGTCGCTCTGGTCGCTGGTCCAGGGACGCGGTGGTTGCCTGCCCACCCTCCAGGAGATGTTCTTTCGAAGAAGCGCCATAAACATAAACTATTAGCGCTCCGCGCGGATTTCTTGGATCCGCGCTGGGGCCCCCCGGCGGCGCCTCCGGCAACGCCCCTGACGCGCGGAGCGCCCAGCGCAGATCCAAGAATTCAGCGCTGAGCGCCACAAGTTTATGTTTATGGTGCATTATGGTGTTTTTTCCTTTTCTGTTCTTGTGGCGTTGCACTCAAGAGAATCGCTCCACGGAGGCGCTATGTGGTGGTGCCGTCTGCTCCTCCTTCTCCCTCCACAGCTGCGCTGGGGAAAAAAACAGCTCTTCGCCGCTGGTCCCGAGGGCAACAAGCGCGCCATCCAGCAGCACACGATAGGGCCAGGTCGGGCATGTCCCCCTACAGGCCGAGTTTGGACGAAAACGAAAACACAACCCAAGAATATTCAAACATGGTCAAAACGGGCCGAGAACTCGTCCCCTGATTAGTTTCTGTTGGCTATTGTTGCATATATTCTTCCTGCAGAGGGACAGGCCCGACTTGAGGATAGAGGGGGCCTGCGGAAACGGATCCGGGGCGGGCGGCGCACGGGAAGGAAAAGCGGGGGCTTGCCGGCCGTTCTCCCGTGCCGGCGCCTCCGCCCCGAAGTGCAGCCATTGGCTCGCCTCTGAGTTCTGCCTAATAGTACGTCGGGCCTGTCCTTCTCAAGGGGGGACTCTTCAAAAATAAACAATAAAATAGTATGGAGACGATTTTTCTATTATGTTTGGATTTTTTGGGGGTCTTCTGTTGCCTCTGTTTTTTTTTCGTCCAAAATCCGCCTGTAGGAGGACATGCCCGACCTAAGCCCAATATCTCAGGCGCCGGCGCGCAAGCGTGGCTCGAGAGGGCCTGACATGTTGACGTTGCCTGCGACAGGCCAGGCAGGTCGCGATCCGTGCAACGCCTAAGTCCGGAGATCTTGTGCCCCTGAAGAGCGGGCGTTTCGAGCAGGGAGCTGGGCGATTGTGAGCGGTTATGGGCCGCCCATGGTCTCCGCTCTGGGACTTTTTGGGTGTCGCGCACCGAGGAGCAAACGGCTGTGGCGGAGGCCTGGTGGTGACACCAGTGCTCCCACGGGGTAACTCGGGTGCTTCTCCTGCCCAAGGGTGGCCTTGCATACTCCCCGGGAACGAGGCGCAGCGGTCTCGCGGTATGCCAAGGTGCGGTGGTAGAACCCTCCAGGCTTGGCTGCGGAAGCAGCGCGGAGGCATCGGGGAACGAGGGCGGAGGGGAGGGGAGGAAATCAGAGCGATGGAGAGAAACACGGGAGTCTCTCTGCGCTGCCCAGATCCCCCTGCGAGCAGGCAGATGAGCGATGCGTGCCGCCATCTGCCTCCCCGAAGTCAGCTGGCGGCTCGTCTGAGGGAAAATGCCCCCCCCCCCCCCCCATCTAGGGTCCGCTTCTTAGGTGTTGCCTCCTGCCTTTCGTCAAGTCATTCGTGTCGTCGTCGTCGACGTCGTCATCGTCGTCGTCGCCGTCGGCGGCGGCGTCATCGGCGTCCCCTTCTCGTCCTCTTCCTCTCCTACCGTCTCCGCCTCTGGCCTCACTTGCCTGCCGCAGTCGACGGAACTCTTGCGCGCCTCCGGCAGCCAAGGGAGGTTATTCGGGGCTTCACTCTCATAGCCTTGGTGTCTGGTTGTGCCCTCTGGCAGCATCTTCCCTCGGGCTGGTGCTTAGGTGGACTGGCCGCGCCGTCCCTCAGGTTGGTAAGCCCGCTGCCGTGCTTGTGGCGAGGAAGCCGCCGACCCTGTCCGTACTCTGCTCTGTTTTCGCTCCTGGTCCCAGCTGGGCAGTTCTGTATACCCTGCCCCTCGTCGGTATTCTCTCCTTGCAGAATGTATGAGGGCAGGTCGTTGATGAGATCATCTCACCGCTCCTTCTTGGCGATGGCATGTCGCCTCCTCGCACCTGCCCTCTGGTGTGCCGCCATCGGTGCCCAGAGTTTGCAGGGCTGGTGGTCCAGGCACCGTTGCCTGGCCTCGAGCGTCCCGCAGGTCAGTGAGCGTCGTCCTCAGGTGGTCTCACCACCCTCCTGAGTGTATGTGGGTAGCTGGCCCGTTGATATAAGAAGCAACTCCTCCTCCTCCGCCTCCGCCTCCTCTTCCTCCTCCTCCTCCTCCTCCTCCTCCTCCTCCTCCTCCTCCTCCTCCTCCTCTCCCCCCTCCCTCCTCCCCCTCCTCGGCCTCCTCTCTTCCCCCCCCTCCTCCCCCTTCCCCCCCCCGCTCTGGAGAGGTCTCCGCAGGGCCCACCGCGCTCGCCAGCTTCCACCGCGCTCGCAGCGCCCCCATGCCCCTCTCCCTTCCCTTCCGTCCCTTCCTCCTTTGCCCCCCCATCCTGTCCCTCCTCCTCCTCCTTCTCCTCCTCCTCCTCCTCCTCCTCCTCATCGTCCTCTCTGGGCTGCCCCCTCTCCGACTTCTCCGTCTCCGCCTCTGCTCCTCCACTCCTCTGGCGACCAGGGAGGGGAGACGTCGGGGCTCCACCCATGTTCGCTGGCTCCTCCTTTCGGGCCTCTGCAGACTCGTGAGGCGCCCGCCACATTCTGACACGATTCTGTGGATTGAGCGGAGATGTATATCAGTTTCAGAATCCTTGCTAGCCAGTCATCCTGCATCCCCATATCATGACCTTTCGTCGCAGCACTTGCTGCACCGTGCTGTCGTGCAGTGCTTCAATATATGCTTCTTCCTATGCCACCCCAGGTGCCACTCGGACCTGCACGGGGACATGTGGTTCGCGCTTGACGCACTATGCTCGACGAAGGCAGCAGGGTCAAGAAAGGGAGTGCAAGCGTGATAATCGAGGACCTTGCTTCCTTCGCGCATGAGCCCTTTCACATGCCACCTGCTCTACTGGGAAGCCTGCAAGAGTCAGTATGCGGGGCACACACCCGCATTTTGCTGTCCCTTTTCCTCGTACTTCGCCGGATCGGGACAGAGGCTGTCTCTCCCAACCTGTGGGCGGGCATGGGTGTCATCTCAGTGCGACTAGTCTGCTAGGCTCACTGCGGGAGGGTATTTTCCCCTGAACAGCGCTTGCACTTAGGAACTGGGCCGCCTCGTCGCCGCCTCGTCGCCGCTGGTCGTCTGGGCCTGTCTGTCGGTCGCCACGCTTGCTGCCGCCGTCGCTGCCCCGTCGCCGCCTCGTCGCCGTCTGTCGTCTGGGCCTGTCCGTCGGTCGTCGCGCATGTTGCCGCCGTCGCCGCCCCGTCGCCGTCCAACATACATTGCAGATTGCACAACATACATTGCACAGCATATATTGCACAGCATAGATTTCGACACGTATGTTGCAACACGCAGATTGCTCTGCGCATCGCGTACAGTGCACACCATAAATACTGACTGATGGTACCACATAGATTGCACCATACACACATCTATATACACATCCCTTTCGTAAAGAGATAGAACCTGCACCCGGGATTATCATTATCAGCTTGCGTATTGCAATGTACATATGACTCTGCCCCATCGTCCATCCGAAACATGGACTCATACCACCCCATACAAGCCAAGATCCCCCTCGCCATCTATGGGAATATATATATATATATATATATATAGGCGCGCACTCGTTTATCAAACCTGATCAGTTTGCAAGAGCTCCTTGCAACAAAAAAACAACTGCACGAATTGCACACGCGCGCGTCGTCGCGCGCGCCGAAATCTTTCAAACACTCTAGGTTTCGCAAGGAATTCAAACTGGAGTGCCCAAACAAAATATAAGCACACAGGGTTTCGCAACACGGGTTTTCAAAAAAGCGCGCGCGCTCTCGAGAATTCTTAAGAAAGCCATCGGTTTTCAACATGTTCAGAAGATGTTACCAGACGGGCTTCGCGCGCGCATGTCGAAATCTGTCGAACGCGCTTGCTCACGTGCCGTCGCGATAACCCCTTGCACACAGGGGACGTAACGCGCACGCGCGCGTTGTCGCGCATGCATGCCGAAATCCGTCAAAAACCTTCTGTGTCGTAGCGATTTTCAAACCGAGTGTCCAAATATCACATACAGCACATGGTTTCGCAACATCAGTTGTCAAAAAGGCGTGCGCTCGCGCTCTGGCGACTCCTTAAGACAGTCATCGTTTTTTCTACATTGTCATGGAATTCTGCCAAGCGGGCCTCTGGGCGCCGCATGCCGACATCATTCGCACGCCCTTGCGTGCGCGTGCAGGGGGGGGGCACGATCCGTGTCAAATAACGCCATGCGGGCCACTCGCGCGTCGGCCGCGCGCGCATGTCGAACTCTTTCCAAAACCTCCTTCGCCGACGCGAGGACGCCGTCATCTTCGTCGGCGTGATCAGCATCGGCGCCCGCGCTGGCCGCGCCTTCGTCGGTGCGAACATCGTCACCAGCATCGCCACTATCATCATCGCGTTTACCATAGTCGGCGTTGCCATATTGCCGCGCCCGCCCAAGTCGCCGACTCGCAGTGAAGTGCCCGCTGGGATGCGCCCAGCGGTCAGCGCCACCGCGGCCGCGTCGGTGGCGCCAAACTAGCTGGCCGCTGAGCGTGTGTGCTAGGGTTGGCGCGGCCGCAGGGATGCACCAGCCAACGCCAGGCATGCATCGCAATCGCCACCGCATGTTTTTTCAAACCAAATTGCGGGCGGGTGGGTGGGATGTTTGCGCGAGAAGTGGAGGTGGTCAAGCGCGGTGCAGGGTAGTCAACTCTCCTTTTTTAAAAACAGAACAAGATCTACCCCCCCTTCGGCGTTATCGGCCCCCCCTTTCGGATATGTAAACCTTATATGATTAGGACATGTCCATCCTAAACATGATTTTACACTATCCCAGGCCAGCCAGGTTCCCCCCCCCGGAGGTTCCCTTGTCAAAAACACTATGCGGTGACATTTTTGTTCTAACATAGCACTTTTTCACGAATCCCTTGCAACAAATGCGACGAAGTGCGCGCGCGTGTCGTCGCGCGCGCATGCCGGAATCCTTTAACAACTTCCGGTGCCGGGAGGATTTCGCCATCGAGTTTCCAAACATACAAAACACATGGTTTCGCAACACTGATTTGCTAAAAAAGTTTCCGCGCGAGCTCTTGCGAAATCTTAAGAAAACCATAGGTTCTTCAAGACTTTCACAACATGCTATTAAACGGGCTTCGTGCGCGCATGTCGAAATCTGTCGAAAGCCCTTGCGCGTGTGCCGTCGCGAGAATCCTCTGCAACAAATGGGACGAAGTGCAGACGCGCGCGTCGTCGCGGGCGTATGCCGAAAACCTTCAAAACCCATCGGTTTCGGAAGGATTTCAAAATCGTGCGTCCAAAAAACCTACAACAACCCAAGGTTTCGCAACACGGATTTTCAACAAAAGCGTGCGCGCGCGCTCTTCGTCGTCGTCGTCGTCGTCGTCGTCGCCGTCCTCCCTCCTCCCGCGTCGTCGTCGTCGTCGTCGTCGCCTACGTCGTCCTCTGTCTTTCCTCGTGTTCGTCGTCGTCGTCCTCTTTGGCGTCGTGGTCGTTTCCGTCGTCGTTGTCGCCGTGGTCGTCCTTCCTCCTCCTCCCTCGTCGTCGTCGTCGTCCGTCGTCGGCGTCTCGTCGTCGTCCCTCCTATTTCGTCGCCGTCGTCGTCGTCGTCGTTGTCGTCGTCGTCTTCCCTTCTCCCTCGTCGTTGTTGTCGTCGGCGTCGCCGTCCTTCCTCCTTCTTCGTCGTTCGCGTCGTCGCCGTCCTCCCTCCTCCCTCGTCGTTGTCGTCGTTGTCGTCGTTGTCGCCGTCGTCGTCCTTCCTCCTCCCTCGTCGTCGCCTTCGTTGGCGTCGTCGTCGTCTTCGTCGTCGTCGGCGTCGGCGTCGTTGTCGTCGTCGAAGTCGTCGGAGACGTCGTCGGTGTCGTCGTAGTCGTTGTCGTCGGTGTCGTCGGAGTCGGTCTTAAGAGGTTGCAAACCATGTTGCGGGTGGGTGGGTGGGATGTTTGCGCGAGCAGTGGAGATGACGACTTCAAGTTCAGCAGAGTGGATTGCACTCCATAGATTGCTCAACCTAGGTTCTTCCTTTGAGAGAAAAAAAAAGGACTTGACCCCCCCCGGTTTACCCGGCCCTTTTTCGTATTGCAATGTACATATTCTGCCCCATCGTCAGTTCTTCATATGAATTCGTGCCGTCCCAGCCCGACCAGTATCGTCCCCCCACCATCCCTTACAAAACATACTATGCGCGCGCATTCGTTTATCAAAAAACAAGAATCCCTTGCAACAGAAATGGGACGAGGGGCGCGCGTGCGTCGTCGCGCGCGCATGCCGAAATCAGTCAAAAAGCTTTTGGTTTCGCAAGGATTTCAAAGTCGAGTGTCCAAAACACACATACATACACATACGCAACACACAACACACAACACACACACAACACACACAAGACACAACACACAACACACGCGCACGCACACACGCACACACGCACACACGCACACGCGCACACGCACACGCACACGCACACGCACACGCACACGCACACGCACACGCACACGCACACGCACACGCGCGCGCACGCACGCACGCACGCACGCACGCACGCACGCACGCACACACACACACACACACACACACACACACAACACACACACACACACACACACACACACACACACACACACACACACACACACACACACACACCACACACACACACGCAAACGCACACGCACACGCACACGCACACGCACACGCACACGCACACGCACACGCACACGCACACGCACACGCACACACACACAAACACACAAAAAACACCGGGCTTTGCAACACTGAATTTCCCCCAAAAAACTTGCGCGCGCGCCCTTGCGAGTCAAGGATGCCACAGGTTTTTCATCATTTTCACAAAATGCTGCCAAACGGGTTTCGCGCGCGCATGTCGAAATCGTTCGAACGAATTTGCGCGCGTGCCATTTTAGAATCCAATGCGAACAAAAACATTGAAGTGCACGCGCGAGCGTCGTCGCGCGCGCGTGCCGAAGTCCGTCAAAAGCCTTCGGTGTCGTAACGATTTCAAAACCGAGTGTCCCAAAGACAGATCAACCACATTGTTTCGCAACGCAGTTTTTTTTTTGTTTATATATATATATATATAAGCGTACGCTCGCGCTCTTGCGACTTCTTAAGAAAGTTGTCGGTTTTCAACCTGTTCACTGAATTCTGCCAAGCGGGCCTCTGGCGCCGCGCGCCGAAATCATTCGCGCGCCCTTGCGCGCGTGCTGGGGGCACGATCCGCTTCAAATAATATTACGCGGGCCGCTCGCGCGTCGGCCGCGCGTACATGTCGAATTCTTTCCAAAACCTTCATCACCGACGCGAGGGCGCCGTCATCGTCGTCGGCGTGATCAGCATCCGCGCCGTCACTGGCCGCGCCGTCGTCGCTTTCAGCATCGTCGCCAGCATCGCTACCATCACCACCGTGTCTACCGTAGTCGGCGTTGCCATGATACCGCGCCCGCCCAAGTCGCCGACTCACAGTGAAGTGCCCGCTGGGATGTGCCCAGCGGAAGGCACCGCCGCGGCTGCGTCGGTCGCGCGAAAATAGCTGGCCGCTGCGCGCGCGTGCATGCGCGGGCTGTCGCGGCCGCGAAAATGCACCAGCCAGCGCCAAGCACTCATCGCAACCGCCGCCGCATGGGGTTTGCAAAACAAATTGCGGGCGGCTGGGTGGGATGTTTGCGCGAGCAGAGGACTGGGCAACTTCGAGTTGAGCATTGGTGGATGGCACCACGTAGATTGCACTGCATACGTTGCTCCACACATATTGCACAACCGATATTGAGC